AACTAGAATCCGACCAGGGTAGAGGGTTTTGTTTTTTTAAGCAAGAAAGTTTTGGTTTTCCAGGAGTCAGGACATTTGCTCAGAAATCTCACTGGGTGTGGTAGGAGCACATTTACTTAGGACTGTAGCCATAGTACAGTGAGTACGAATTTAACCATCCAAGCAATCGACCCAAATTCTATCCCCTGCATCCCATAATGTCTGTACCAGAGTGATTCCTGCATATAGAGCTAGGAGTAAGAACTGAATCTGCCGGTTGTGGCCCCAAAACAAAAATCACACAAAGTCACAGTTATATATACAAATATATATGCACAAACAATGGTGAAAGAACAATAGGGGTTCAGAAGAAACTGTGAGTTTCTGTAGCAGGGATAGATCAAAAATAGGGGATTTTTTTTTTCTTTTTTGGGTCACTCCTGGCGATGCACAGGGATTACTCTTGGCTTTGCACTGACGAGTGCTCAGGGGACCACATGGGATGCTGGGAATCGAACCTGGGTTGGTCGCGTGCAAGGCAAACACACTACCCGCTGTGCTGTCTCTCCAGCCCCAAGGATAGGGAAGTTTTAAGGACCAGAAATTTGAGTCTTTTAATGTTTCACTCTCAAATTTGTCTTTGTACATCATTTTTCCCTGCTTCGGTAGAATTTGCCTTTTTTCTTGTTATATTTTTCACCGCAGCCTACAGTGCTCAGTGTTTACTCTTGTCTCTGAGCTCGGGGATCATTTGACAGGAGTCAGGGTAACATTCTGTGTTTAGATAACATTGATTCGATGTTAGTTGACAACTGCAGGATCAGGGGACTTCTCCTTACCCCCAATCCCACAGTGTGTGACCGACCAGTCCAGCATTTGCCTCTCCACTCCTCTATTCGAGTCCATCCCCCTTGCAGCACAGATTTACCTGGGTGGCAAAAAGGTTCTCAGTGCTTAGACTCTGGCTCTTTAAGGTACCTAATCGAAATGGACGTGATGTCATAAGTGATGTCATAAATGTCATGGTTCATTTTCCATTCCTGACTCAGACACTGGGGCTGTGGCTCACTTGGCAAAGGACAAGTATATTTGCTCCCCATCCTGGAAGGGGGACTCTGAAGAAGGATTTAGTTGCAGGATTCGAGCAACCTCCTGTGAGCAACCTGCGCCTTCCCGTTTCCACACTCTGAGCCGAGGGGCCGAGCCAACTTGGGGGGCACTTTTGCGCTGGTTTTTCACTTGTTCGCCAACATCAAGGTGGATCGTGAGGTGTGATGGAGGTTTTAGGGGGACGCAGAGCTTTGGGGGTGCGGTGGGGGCTGTCTCAGGGTTCAGGAGTGACAGTTCTGAGTTTGTGATTCTGGGGTGCCTCTTTCGCCACGATTGTCTCCAGCTCTGGGATGGGGCAACAGTGGGTGAATGCGGGAATCATCTGAGGGCTTGGCTATTCCAATCGTCCAGCAGTCCCATGTTTGAACCATTGGCCCTAAGCTCGCTTCTGTAGAATCTCCAGATTTGAGGAGCAGAGCTTCAGCCCCTCCACCTAATTGCAGGAGACCTGTTACTGGTCATCTTCCTTGTCTGCCGTGATAGCCGCGATCATGCGGGGTATATGGGGCGGGGGGGAGGGGGCCTGCAGGTGGCAGAGGTTTGCCAATGAAAATGTATTTGGGGGGCTATTTTTGGTTCTTTATATTTTAGGGGGGAGAGAGAGCAAGTACGCGGAGATGCTCATGAGTTACTCGAGTCTCTAGGCTCAGGTATTATCCCTGGCAATGCTGGGGGCTATATGGGATACAGAGGATTGATTGGTTCATCTAGTCAAGCACCCAGTTCACATTATTGCCTTCTAACCACAATACCAGTGTATCTTTTTCTGGTTCATGAGTTTCAGGTCCCTCACATCAAGCTGCAAAGCACGCCTGACTCTTCATCTCTCCCTGAGCAAACGACACCTGCCATTGTGGTAAATACTGAGATCCCCAGGACAGATTGCCCAGGTGCATGTCCTTATCCACCCTGCAAGTGAGTGTCGAAGGTTTGTTCACTCTAAGTCACATGGTGGAGCCACATTCCAGGCTACGGTTCCCATGGGGCAGCACTGCTGCCAGCCTGCAGGGGGGCGCTAGTATTCGGGAACTCCTGGGCTGAGAGTCGGTCCCTGGAAGGGCCTACAGGGACTTTCCTGTGGGAGACAGAGAGGAATCCGGGGATCAGAGAAGGCTGTCTTTTCCTCCCCTGTAGCCTGGGCCCAGGCTCCTCTCCTGAAGTGCAGCACAGATGCCAACAAAATTTGCATTCCCAGCGGAGACAGGAGCTTCTGCCATTGTCTCCCAGAGGTGGAATTGTGAGGCTGTGCCCGAGGGTGTGGCTGGTCTGAGCTCAGGAGTCGGAGGAGGTGCTGCTCTCTGGTGCTCACTGTTCTTACTTCTCCAGTTCTTTGCACGGAGCCTCCTGCTGATCCTCAGAACGACATTGACAGGAGAAGATGGTGACGCGGCTTCTGAAAAACCGTCCCCAGGTAGGAGTAGATGGATAGAATGGCATGAGATAGTACCAGGAGTGCCCCGGCTTCCAGGGCCATCTATTTGGATTTCTTTTGGATGGATTCCAAGATGAGACTTCCGATCGGATCGTCCCATTCTGCTGTTTGAAGCTGCTTTTGTGTATGTTTGTTTTGTTTTATTTGGCTTTGGGGCCGACCCAGTGGTGCATGAGGAGTACTCAAAGCTCAGTGCTCAATGCTCATTCCTGACAGGTCTAGGTGACCAATGGGATGCTGGAGGTCCAAAGGTTTCTTCTTGGGTTTTCTGTTTTATTTGGGGTAGCAGAGCAAGAATTCTTGCAATCATTCCTTGTGCTGCACTCTGGCATTGCCCCTGGCAGTGCTTGTGGGACCATATGGGATGTTGAGGATCGCCAGTCCTACATGCTCTCCCCGGAACAGCTGTCCTGTTATGCCAACCTGCTGCTTTGGTTTCTTTTGCATTGTTTTTGTCATCAGCTGTCCTCTTGACTCTGTGCTCTGGATTCACAAATGACTGGCCTCAGAGCACCCTGGGGTGTGCTGGCCCTGTTTGTACCCTGGAAACTACAGTGACTTGGGCCCCCAGACTTGCTTTTCTCTTGTTTTGTCCTTCCTACTTTGGAGCGACTACCTGCTCAGACATATAGTCTTACATTCACATAATTTTTTGTGTGGATTTCTGGGCATGCGCCGATCCCAAGGAGAAAGAGCCAAGGATCTCTGAGGCCAGCAGAGATGTTGGGGTCCAGAAACTTCTACCTTCTTTGAGCGGGATTTGGGGCAGTCCTGAGCAGTGAGTTCCTACAGGCACACATGCCATGCACTGCTCTGAGTAGTTGTCTATATGGACTGTCGAGTTCTCAATCCTAGTGGTCATGTGCTGTGGGAGTGCAGTGGTGAGCGTGCAGTGGTTTTTGCTGCACGCAGGGATAGTCTTTTGGATCGTACAAGTCTGTGTTCAGGTGATCCTCTCTACAGTGCTCACTGGACCAGTGGTGCACAAATTGGTCCTGGGGTTACCAGGAAAGGCAGATACATCCAAAAACCTTCTGTATAACGTCCTCCCACTTTAGCAGAACTAGCTGACTTATGTGATTTCTGGGACCCGTCAGTCATGCGTGTGTATGGAGGCTGTTCATTCGGAGGGGAGAGGACAAGCGACAATATAGGACCCTGGGACCTGGCCTCAGAGTAGTGGGAATGAGGCTAAGATAGACTCTGACTCCCACCCTTCCTGTGTGCTGACTCAGGACGCAGTGACCTTCCATGACGTGGCTGTGAACTTCACCCCGGAGGAATGGTCATACCTGGCGACCTCTCAGCAGACGCTCTACAGGGACGTGTTGCTGGAGACCTACCAGCATCTGCAGGCTGTCGGTGAGAACAGTGTGGAGCCAACTTTGTCTGAAAAGACCCACGTGTGCTCCCTGGGGTTGGGCGGCAGCTGTGTGTCCAACAGTAGCTCTGTGACAGGTTGGGATGTTGGACAGCCGTGCAGTAGCTGTTCCCTCCCTGGTTTATTTTTAGGGTTCACCTATATATACTCAGGGCTTCCTCTCATCTTTGTCCTCAGAAATCATTCTTGTGGGGTAGCGGTACTCTATGGGGTGATTCAGATCAACCCGTTTCAACTGTGCCCATGGGAATATCCCTATCTGCCCAGTTATCGCCCAGGTCCCTTTAAATAGTTCCATCCATTGGTGAATCAATTTACTTTGTGTACTACACGAATTTTTGTGTGTTTAATTGGTTTTGCTGTTGCCTTTGTTTGTGAGGCACAGTCCACAATTCTCCTGGCTCTGTGCTAACGGATGACTCCTAAGAGTGCTCAGGGGCCATGGGGTACCGTGGACTTGGCAACTTAAAATGTTGGTGCCTTACCACAGGATTTGCTATCTCGTCTCTCAACTCATTACTCGCTGCCCTATTTCAGTACTTGGATTTACTTCTAATGGTTCTTGTGAGACTTCAGCAGGACTTAGGGTTTGCTCCTGGACTCTGCACTCATACAGGAAAGAAACCTCATGAATGTCAGGCATGTGGAAAGGCCTTTATTCAGAACTCGAGTCTTAATAGACCTATGAAAACTCATAGTGGAGAGATGCCTTCTATATGTCCGGAGTGTGATAATGCCTTTACTCGACCCTCAGACCTCAGTATACATAGAAGTGTTCACACTGGAGAGAAACCATATATATGTAAGGAATGTGGAAAGGCCTTTGCGAAAGCCTCAAGTCTTAGTGTACATAGGAGAATTCACACTGGAGAGAAACCGTATATATGTAGGGAATGTGGGAAGACCTTTGCTGTAGCCTCAAGTCTTAGTGTACATAGGAGAATTCACACTGGAGAGAAACCGTATATATGTAAGGAATGTGGAAAGGACTTTGCTAGAGCCTCAAGACTTAATTTACATAGGAGAATTCACACTGGAGAGAAACCATATATATGTAAGGAATGTGGGAAGGCCTTTGCTGAATCATCAAGACTTAGTGTACATAGAAGAATTCACACTGGTGAGAAACCATATATATGTAAGGAATGTGGAAAGGCCTTTGCCAGAGCTTCAGGACTTAGTGTACATAGGAAAATTCACACTGGAGTGAAACCGTATATATGTAAGGAATGTGGAAAGGCCTTTGCTGTAGCCTCAAACCTTAGTGCACATAGGAGAATTCACACTGGAGTGAAACCGCATATATGTAAGGAATGTGGAAAGGCCTTTGCTTTGGCCTCAAGACTTAGTGAACATAGGAAAATTCACACTGGAGAGAGACCATATATATGTAAGGAATGTGGGAAGGCCTTTGATATAGCCTCAAAACTTACTGTACATAGGAGAATTCACACTGGAGAGAAACCGTATATATGTAAGGAATGTGGGAAGTCCTTTGCAGAAGCCTCAAGCCTTAGTGTACATAGGAGAATTCACACTGAAGAGAAACTGTATATATGTAAGGAATGTGGGAAGGCCTTTGCTACAGCCTCAAGACTTAGTCTACATAGGACAATTCACACTGGAGAGAAACCGTATATATGTAAGGAATGTGGGAAGGCCTTCGCTGGAGCCTCTACACTTCGTGAACATAGGAAAATTCCACACTGGAGAGAAACTATATATATGTAAGGAATGTGGGAAGGCCTTTGCTGGAGCATCAAGACTTACTGCACATATGAAAATTCATCTCAGAGAGAACCCTCATCAGTGTCAGACCTGTGGGAAGGGATTCACATGGTTCTCTTCCCTTACTCTACAGATGAGAATTCATAATGGAGAGAAGCCTTAGATATGTCTGGAGTGCGAAAAGTTCTTTAATTCATCCTCACAATTGACTGTACATAGGAGAATTCACAGTGGAGAGACACCGTATATATGTAAGGAATGTGGGAAGTCCTTTGCTGAAGTCTCAAGCCTTAATGTACATAGGAGAATTCACACTGGAGAGAAACTATATTTGTAAAGAATGTGCGAAGGCCTCTGTATGTCCTCAATACTTAATGTACATAGGAGAATACACACAGGAGAGAAACCGTATACATATAAGAAGTGTGGAAAGGCCTTTTGAGAACCCTCAGATGTAGTGTACATAGGAGCATTCATGCCGGAAAAAAACCTTATATATGCGAGGAATATTGGAAGGCCTTCTGCCATTCTGAATCCTTGCTAAGTACAGGAATATTCACAGTGGAGGGAAACCTTATCCGTGTCAGACTTGTGGGAAGGCCTTCATTTGGTGCTATCCAGAAATACAAAGACAAATCTCAAAACCCAGCGCCTTTTAGCAGAAATGCATCTGGACCCTGCAGTAAGTTACTGTCCCCGGTACACTCCAGGGGGAATTGGTGCTGTTCCCCCAACGACTCCCACTTGGTGGCTCAGTGGCCTCAATCCTCCAAAGGCCTTTGGAAAGTTAGGTTTGGACCCACACTCACGAAGCAACGTGGGGCCTCTCAGGATGGGGTGGAGCCGGCCAATTCCTCCCCACCCCAACAAGAGCCTAAGCGATTCCCACGAACCGCCTCTCTGACTCATGATAAAGCTGTTTAATGGCCATAATCCCAGAGACTCAGGAACAAATCTCGGAACCCAGCAGGTTTTGGCAGAAATCCCTCCAGATTTAGTTGTTAAAATTTCAGAATTTCAAAATTATATGTTATTTATAACCAGCAATCGAAAAAGAATTGTCTACTGTTGCGTTTTCGCCAGACCTGAGTGCTTGGGTAAAAATCCCAAATAATAATGGTGGGTCTCGTGTCAAAATATTGAATGTAATCAAAGTAGTAAGAAGAATGTGGAAATTATCTGCCCCACAGGTAGGGGGAGGCTGTGGAATGGCAGTATACTTGGGTTTTTAGTGGTGGAAAATAGGCACGGTGAAGGGATGGGTGTTTCATTGTATGACGAAAAATTAAACCTGAAAGCTTTGTAATTGCTCTCCCATTTTTTCCCATTTTCTCCCATTTATTTAGAAATGGCCAGAGGAATAGTAGAGCAAGTAGGATGCTTGCCTTGCATGTGGCCAACCCAGGAGTCCACCAGTCTACAACATCTTTGAGTTGCTCATTGGACATTGAGTATCCCCTTTTCATCCCTAGAACATGTGATATGGGGGTGTGGCATGGGGGTAGGGGTATCTTCTCCCAGGATCTGTTTATTATGGAGAGATCCTGTGCTTTCCTTTCTTGACTTTGTTGTCATTCTTCCTCACCTGTCAGTTATGTCGAGTAGTACATGTGTTTCAAAGCCCTTGTGTTCCTGGCTATAACTAGCCTGACTGTACACGCAAAGGGCCGGGTGCCGTTTCTGGACTCTGCTCAGTTAATCTGACACCATGCATATCTTTGCCTTTGGATCATTGCCATGTTTTTTTGAATATGGGAAGAAATTAAGTGTTCTTTTGTTTTGGGGCCTGGGGATGATCAGCAATTATTCCTGGTGATTCTCGTAAGTTGCTTTTGGCAGTGTTCAAGGATCAACCCCTGTCAGCCTCATGCAAGTCAAATGCCTACCTGCTCTACGCTTGTACGCACCAAAAATTGTTTTATTGTGTGTATGTTAAATTGTGACTGTGAGCCCATAGTGAAGTTAATTAGGACCAGAAGAGCAGTGCATCACTGTGGGTGCTCGCCTTACAAATGCCACCTACCTTCGATGTCCAGCATCCCCTATGGTATCCCAAGCATCACTGGGTCTGATTAAAAACAACCCAAAAGGATTTTTTGGGGATTGCCAAGCTCCTCCTAGCAACATTTCCCACAGATTTTCCATTTCTCTAGGCTTGTTTTGACTGTGAGAACTATGGAGATGTCCTCCACCTGTTTGGTCATTCTACTGCATTCCATTCAACATTGGACTAATTCTCATTGTGCATATTGTTTGATTTCAGAACTCAAATCACAGGTTCAGGATATGGCATTACAGCAATTTCTTTAGGAAACAGGGGTATTGCATACAAGTGTGCTGTAAGATTCTCTTCTTGAAACTAACTATTATGCCATTGGATTGCTCAGTGGACCGAGCATGCGACTTGAAAGGTGGGGTCCGGCTCCATCCCCACAACCACATCTATGGTCTCAGCATCACAGGAGAAATATCGGAGCCTAATGCTGGGAATAGAGAGTCTTTAACCTCAGTGGGTACTGCAATCTGGAAATTTATTTTATTGTATTGTTTTTTAAAGTTTTCATTAAAGTGCCAGTATTTTTAAAGTTTTTAGTAGTTGTATTTAGGCGTACAATAATTGAACACCAATCCCTGCATCAGCTTCCCTCTACCCATGTTCCCGTATTCCCTCCCCACCCCAGTCCCCACTCTACCCCCGCCTGTCATCTGGACAAGCACATGACTAGGTTTCAGTGGTCACAGCTTAGATCTCTTGTTTTCAGTTCTGTTGCATCTGTGTTTTGGGTAAATGGCTACACCCCTCACTCATGTTACTGGCATAAATGAATCCCTGATCCCTGTAAACTTCTGGTTCTCTTCCGCCCCAAATTTCTTTCCTTCTTTGTCCGGCTTCTCTCTAAACACTGGAATCAGGGATGATTGAAGCAGCCCCTTTACAGTACATTTCCACATCCAGTGTTCGGTATTCCACCAATGAGTGAACATCATCCAGTTTTTTTTTGTTTTGTTTTTATGGCTAACTTCAGTCAAGACAGTATCTTCCAGTTCCAACCGTGTTGCTGCATGAAAGAAGTAATTCTAAAACCTAAAATATAGATTACTTGATCCCCCTTTATTCATCGATTTATTCGAGTGGGTGCCAGTAACATCTACATGCATGCCTGTTGCGTGCTAGTGTAGCCCAATGGCATCTGTTCGTTCTAGGAACATGCAGAGCCTCAAACTGATCATTCAGGGTCTTGACGAAGAAGTCTGACCATCTTGTAGGTGGACATCCACGCGATCTGTTGACGTGCTGTGGAATCCAGTCAGTAATGGCTCTAGGCCAGTGGTTGTCTGCAAACCTCAGTACGTGTCCAGCCCATCTGATTTTTGATGCCTTGGCAGATGAGACAGTGTCCCTGATTCTTGACCATTGACAGAGATCAGAACTCCAGATTCTATCTCTCATTTGAGTCATGCGTGATATTCCAAGCATAGCTCTTTCGATTCCTCTTTGAGAGAACCGAGTAGCGTTCTCATCCTGTTTTCATAAGGCCCAGGTCTCTGAGGCATATATTCATGCAGGAAGAAAAGAGGAATCAAAGAGATGTGCTTGTAGCTGGAGGTTCTTTGTCCTCTTATTTATTTCTTCAGCGCTCTTGAAGGCATTCCAAGCCGCTCTCTTCCTCCTTCGCAACTCAGGTACCAGGTCATTCATCATGTTGATTTCTCGAACTAGGTATATATATCTGTAGATTCGGAGATGGTGGTTCCATTGAGAGTGAATGGAGCATCAGGAACGAGGCTGTTTCTCATAAACATTGTCTTTCTAGGATTCAGCTGTAGTCCGATATTTCCACACTCACGGTCGAAGTAGGGCAGCATTTGTGCCTCTTGGCTGATGTCTGGTGTTATTACAACGATGTCATCAGCAAAGTGGAGGTTGTGTAGTTGATGACCATCTATGTTCACTCCCATTCCTTCCCATTCCATTCATCGCATTATGTTCTTGACGGTGGCACTGAAGAGTTTTGGTGAAATGGTATCACCCTGCCGAACCCCTCTCTTGACATGGATGCTTACTTCTTTGTAGAATGGTGAGATCCTGGTAGTGAATCCATAATAGAGCTCAAGGAGGATCCTGATGTATTGCGTTTGTAAACCCTGATTGGCTAGGTCTTCAATGACCGCTTCCATCTCAACAGAATCAAAGGCCTTCTTTAAATCAATGAACGTTAGACAGAGCGGCATCTTGAACTCCTGAGAAACCTCAATGAGCTTAGTAAACGTGTGGATATTGTAGATGGCACTGAATCCTTTTCAGAACCCGGCTTGTTCACATGGTTGTTCTTCATCTAGTGTTCTGCTAATCCTATTCAGGATGACTCGAGTGAACAGTTTGTAGATGACAGACAATAGGCAGATTGGGAGATAGTTGCCGATGTCGTGGATGTCTCCCTTCTTATATAGTAGTACAGTCTTGCTGGTTTTCCATTGGAATGGAACCTTGCATTCAGACAGCGTGTGAAGAGCCGAGCCAGTGTATTGATGAGTACTGATGGTAAGTTCTTCAGTTGTTCAGGTCTGATCTTGTCTGGCCCAGGTGCTTTTTATTTCTTTACCGACGAGATGGCATGTTGAATTTCGGAAGGGGGAACATCGGGAACTATATATCCATTGTGCGGAATATGGTATGTGGGCAAGTGGACGTGCCTAATAAAGAGATATGAGTAGAATTCATAAATAATCTTCTGACTGCCCTTCTGGAAGATGTTACAGATCCATCAGGATGTCGGAGGGGAGTCCTCTTGGTCTTGTAGTTGGTGAAGGATAGGCGGGCATTACAAATGCTTTTCCCA